CTTGTTTTCGAACGACTACAAAAACATGGCATTACTATAAACGTTCAGAAATGCCAATTCGGAACCGACTCATTAGACTTTCTGGGACACACTATCGATGCTCAAGGCATTCGACCTCTTAGGACCAAAGTGGCGGCCATTCTGGATTACCCAGAACCCACCACCGTCAAGCAATTACGCACGTTTAACGGCCTGGTAAGTTTCTATAGACGATTCATACCGAAATGCGCATTACTTATGAAACCTCTGACCGACCAACTTCGTGGAAATGCGAAATCCATTAATTTAGACGACACCGCACGAAAAGCATTCTCCACAGTTAAGGAACTGATCGCTAAAGCAACAATGCTTGCACACCAGGACATCCGAGCACCCATTAGCATCGCAGTAGACGCATCCGACTCGACAATCGGAGGAGTCTTACAACAATGGGTTAACAACTCCTGGCAACCCTTGGCATTTTTCTCTAGAAGGTTGCTAGACACCGAATCGAGGTACAGCACATTCGGTAGGGAACTCCTAGCTATGTATTGTGCTGTACGGCATTTCCAACACTATATCGAAGGTCGTGAATTCACTCTTTTCACGGATCATAAACCGCTCACTTTCTCGCTAAGCTCTCCTTCTGACAAGTACTCTCCCCGTGAGTCTCGACAACTGGACTACATTTCGCAGTTTACTTCGGATATTCAACACATCTCTGGAGCAAACAATGTAGTTGCAGACGCCTTATCTCGCATAACTTCCTTGAACAGTTTCCAAGGAATCGACCTTCTTAAACTCGCCGAGCTTCAAAAAGAAGACAGTGATCTTCAGCACGAGTTATCGTCCACAACACTTAAACTACGCATCAAACAGATGGGAACAGGTAAGGAGACCTTACTTTGTGACACATCTACAGGTAGGGATCGCTTAATCGTGCCGAAACGTTATCGACGTAATGTCTTCAATACATTGCACAAACTTTCTCATCCAGGTGTTCGTGCAACCATCAAGCTTATAGCAGAACGGTTTTGCTGGCCTGGAATGAATAAAGACGTGAGGGAGTGGGCACGCTCCTGTGTAAGCTGCCAAAAATCTAAGGTTACCAGACACAATAAATGTCCCCTAGGCTCGTTTAAAACTCCCGATGCTCGTTTCGACCATGTTCATCTGGATTTGGTTTGACCTTTACCAGATTCAAATGGATACTCTTATCTCTTAACCTGCGTAGACCGTTTCACTCGATGGCCAGAAGCAGTACCTATCAAGGACATCACTGCTGAAACAGTGGCCCGCACCTTCGTCGAACGATGGGTAGCAAACTTCAGTTGCCCTTCAACCATCACCACAGACCGCGGACGTCAGTTTGAATCTGAACTTTTCCGTCGTCTGACCACACTATTAGGAATCACTCGCTTCCGAACGACCGCCTACCATCCACAAGCAAACGGGTTGGTAGAACGTTTTCACCGACAACTAAAAGCTTCACTATCAGCTGCAAACGTTTCACAGTGGACCGACGCTCTTCCACTTGTCTTATTAGGTATTCGCAATGCAGTGAAAGCTGACATTGGATACACTGCGGCTCAACTCGTCTATGGAACGACACTTCGACTTCCAGGAGAATTCGTGGATCCTTCATCCTCTTCAATGAACATGGATCTAACCTCCTACACGAACAGGCTTACAAACGCAATGCGTTCGGTTAAAACTGCTTCCACTCGACCTCAATCAACCGATGTTTTCGTTCAACCTGACTTACGATATAGTACACACGTTTTCGTTCGTCGAGACTCGCATCGACGACCATTCGAATCAGCATACGAAGGACCTTTCAAAGTTCTTCAACGCGAACCGAAGTACTATATAGTCGATAAGAACGGAACAAACGATAGCATCAGCATCGATCGCCTCAAAGCAGCGTATTTAGAAGGAAATCCTATCTACGTCGATTTTCCTTCGTTACAATCGAACGACACGACTCCACTCATAATTCCTCAACCGACAACCAACACTAGCGATGATACTCCGAATATATCTGAAAATAAACCTAAAACGACGCGTTCTGGAAGAAGAGCAAGATTTCCAGAACATTTAAACGACTACTGCACGTAAATCACTACTCGACATTTTATATTATCTCGATCTTTTTTTTACGATATATATTTTTTTTTAAAAAAAAAGAATTTTAATATGCTCATATATTTATTTTGTTTTTACTTGAAAAAACAAAACAAAAAAAACATTTTTAACGCTATTATGTGTGCTTGAGTATAGTTTCCATTTTTCGCCGACATTGTGTTTTTACGCACATGCGAGTGTATTTCGACATGGACTTACACTTTCTTTTTTCTTTTCCAGGACGACTGGAAAAGAATGATGCAATTTACGAGGAGTCGAAATTTTTGTTGTAACTTTTTCATTTTTTACTATGTTGTACCTCGGTCCCATATAGTAAGGAAAGACGACCAGGCGCTGCTACACTTAGTAAGCTATCAGAAGAGTGTTTACCAACGACAAACTCGTTGGGTTTAAACTTATGGCTGGCCACGTCGTAGGGTCGTCACTGCCTCACTAGGGGGGAAGTGATCTGTAGCGGTAAATAAATCCCCAAAATAAATAGCACTAAGTTTTCGACATTGGATGCTGACCATATGTTTTAGTGGACTCATCTAGCTGAAGGCGCTCGGTCATGCATCCGCACCAGATCACGTGTGGTAACGCCGTGCTCAACATCAACTGCAATCGCTAGCCAGATTAGATCAGAGAATTCCGATATGTTGGTCATCGCCAAATATACTCTTCCGATCTCCTCGACTCTGTCTTTTGATTTCTCTGGGTGGGAACGAAATATATTAGAAGGTGTTACTGGTAGAAGCGTTGTCAAACACTGAATACCTGTGACATCATCAATAATGTTTCTGCATGGTTTGACGATCCCCTCTTGTAGATGTGTCACAGAGTGAAGTTTTCTCACTTGTTCCATCTGTTTGGTCTGTAGTTTCAGGGCTGTCGAAGATAACTTGTGTTGAAAATCAGTGTCTTATTTTTGAAGCTGTGAGAGTTTTAGAAGGTCGATTCCTTGGAAACTGAGAGCTCCATGACCAAGCCATCCAACTCAGAGAACAAAACCCCATCAAAAACTGCTATCCATTTTAGGGACCATGTGTAAGGTCGACGTCCACGGACTGTTAGATGGCCGAGTAATTCCCAAGTCCATCATGCATTCGAATTCTTTTTACATCAACCTTAGCCTTTTTAGAGTTAGTTGGAACGCTTGGAAGCTACAGGTGATCCAATAGTCGTGATATGGAGTGTAAGAAACTTGGTCCCACATGGTAATTGTGGTCACTTTCGGTACATTTAGGGTATTATCGAGTGTTCGTTGATAGAAGGTGTTGATTATGCGCCTCACAGTAGCTGGGAATAATCTACAACCAGAAAAGAAAGTCACACAAAACAGAAATTTAGTGTTGCTATCTACTAAACTTCGTTCCTACGTGTCGATGAGTAGATTGTCTTGTAGTAGGTCCAGACTTATGATTAGCATAGTAACGTCCGCAACAACGAAGACCCAGTGAATGGGTTTGCGTAAGTTAACCATATCGCTTATTGTTTGTGGCAATCGTTTTCCCATTTGCCGCCTGTAAGTTAAGGACTAGTTCATGCAGACGGTCGTTAGAATTTGCTGGGAGAACACCAACTTCTGCTCAGTTGTTGAAGTGATAGAGAACTTTTCCATTACACCTGTGTTCACTGGCTACGGTTTCCACAAACGCGTCACGGCGGGAAAGTTTCACGAAGATTTTTTCGTGACGGTCGATTTGGAGCTCGTGAAACTGCAGGGTGTTCTGCATTTTTGAGGAGACGTGCCATATTTATTATAGTATAGGCACCAATGATGATTATCTGTCTCTAGTGGTCCAGAGACAGATCTTCGTTATGACCAGCTTCTTCGAGATGATTGAGATCGTCTACCATCACGATGAATATCGAGATAACGAGTCAGTGTGACTGGGGTCTATGATGTTGTTTTATGTTGTTTGGGGACTTTAGTTGACAGAATAAACCTCGGTGTTGTTTGTTTCGGTAATATCCAGGATCTGGTCGGCAGATTCAGCTAGTTCGTCTACAGCGTTATTTTTAATGAGATAAGAATTGCCTGCACCTGTTGGGAAACTTAGACAAGAGCTATTTAAACAGAGCCTCGCAAGAGTTGCTTTGTCCGATGATCTTTCGTATTCATAGCGAAATGTCTGCTGCTGATCCGCGTGGCACTGCCTTCACTACTGCAAGAAATCATGAACGTGAGTCTGTCACTCCGCGTCCGCGGGAGTCAGCTTTAATGTAGCAGAACCATACTTCTATATTATTGGGCTAGGATGACACTAGCTGGGATGTGGTAGGCGGAATTGGTTTAATAATAGGTAACTTAGGCGTCTGTTCCATCATGATGTAAATACAATATATCAATGAGAGAAAAAGTAACCGGAGATATAAAAACAAAATCACAATGTGTAAAAGTAAATATTTACACATAATGTTCCAAGAAGGAACTGACTCACAGTTTAGGATTTGGTATACCAGATCACTTCAGCCTCACTACTAAGGATTCCACAAGTATTCGGAGTTTGATAACACATGTACACATAACACCTTTATAATCGATGTATGCCAACCCAGTGAAATAAGAAGTCAAAAATGAAGAGGTTCGAAGATATATTTGGAAGGCTATCGATGTATCGGGAAGCGTTTACTATAAACCGGCTGAAGGCTGTAAGATATGCGTAGTACGACATACCCACTCGTAATCTGGTGCGGATGCGTGACCGAACACCCTCAGCTAGATGTCTTCATTAAAACTATTTACCGCTACGAAAGGCAATTTTCGAACATTTTTCGAATCCCTGAGATAAATATGAGGAATTATCGTGAATAAAGAATAACTTATGTAATTAAGTACATTACAGAACTCACGGTGATCTGAAACTGGAATACTGATTATTGGACAGTCATTACCCCAGACTTCGTAATTATTTAAACTGTTGCGTTCCAGCGTGGCGTATTTGGCTTAGATTTCTGCATAGAAATACATATCTGTCGGCATTTTTACCTATACAAATACTGCAGTTCATCATGCCGAAGTGCATTAAGATGGATCGTTTCCGATATATAACCAGCGAAGCTTGGCGTGCTTTAATAGCAGTAAGAACTGGGGAGTTCACAAACCTTTCTTGCTTTTAGATCGAGATGGGACTAAAAAATCACGAAGTCGTGCCTCCAGAGTTAGCACTTAAAATTTCTCACCTTAGACGAAGTTGTATCGGCTTCAGCCATCTAGTTCAAGAACAGTTAATACTAAATAGGTTGGTAGCCTACGAAACTGATAACAAACATTGTAAGTGTTCCTCATGATGACCATGATCTTATCTGAAACTAACTGTTATGATATACAAGCAGTTAGCGTAATGCTAATTTGCTTGCATATCTTTAACTATGTTACTATGATATTGGCGTTCCTGAAGGTTAATGACGTGTTTTTTTTCCAGCGATGAAAGGATATCGTCTTACCAACCTGGGCTACGACTACCTTGCTCTTAATCAATTTTTCAAATCAGAGCAATTGGAAAGTCTAGGAACAATGATTGGAGCTGGAAAAGAGTCTGATGTCTATATTGCTGCTGCTGGTGCGCGATGTGGGCGTCCGTCAGATGGCTCAGAAGGCCCTTTGGTTGATTTCCCAAAGGAAGGAGATTCAGTCGTTGTTAAATTTCACAGACTTGGGAGAACGTCCTTCAGGAAAGTAAAAGAAAAACGAGAGTATCATCAACATAGAAGTAGTTGCTCTTGGTTGTATTTGGATCGTCTAGCATCTAGACGCGAGTTCGTTATGATGCAGGTAAGTGAATGTTTCACTCTAGATCTTCATAGAGCCTTCGGAGTAATGGTATTCCTGTTCCTATCCCTTACACCCACAACCGAAATGCTGTCGTCATGTCATATATTGCTGATAGCCTGCCACTTTACAGAATACTTCCGAGTATTTTGAATTCTAATGAGTCTGCTTCTGCACGGTCACTTTACTACCAAGCCAAAAACATATTGGAAAGAATTGCTTCTCTTGGTCTTGTTCATGGTGATCTAAATGAGTTTAATCTGATGGTTTCCGATTTGGACCCTGAAGAAAATACGGAGATTAGTAATCCCAAGCTGATTCTTATTGACTTCCCTCAAATGATCAGTCGTGACCACAAACTAGCTAACACGTGAGCTTCTTTTCAACTAAATACTTCTTTCCGAGGTCCTATATTTTTAACATCTCGAATGTCTTTATCGGTTACAATCCAGAACTTGCGTAAACGTAATGGTTTTCAGTTCAGTTGTGATAGTACAAGCTGTTTGTAGGGCTACCGCTTCATTGAATGGCTTTTTAATGTTATTTCAACAAAGTTATTATCGATATAAATCATTCAGAAACCATGAGGTTCAAAACTTGAAATATACGGATTGGTCTATGTGTATGAAATTATCACAGAGCACTACAAATCCTATCCCAACGTAATCGTGACAGGCCATTCTTACTGTTGTGTTAGGGCGTAAAATCTCTATTGCAAGTATTTTCGTTTTACTACTGTTTTCTCTTACAAAAGTATTTCAAGTACAGTCATTAGATTTCGAATTATCTGAGTGCTTATCTCTGGAGTTTAATACGATGTGAAACAAAAATTCTATGTGAATCTGGCACACGAGGTGTCAGGATTACTAAGATCAGTTCGAGAAACACTCGAGTTTATCATATACGACCAAAAGTGGGACGCGGCCCTTGAAAACAATTTTGCTAAACATTCTTATGAGTCTACGGATTCATTGACTGTCTCATTGATTCATTTTGTTAAAAACAAACTATTTGGTTGGGGTCGTCGCTATACTAAATTATGTAGCCTCGAATTGGTCATATGGTCAACCCGCGAAGTCGGTGTTTCATAATGGTGACATCAAATGAAGTATCGTTACTGTACTGAGAAATATGCTGCGGAACCTTGACATTACTAACATGGTATTCCCACAGAGTGTAAAATGTGTGACAATAAAGAGAGATGATTAAACACAGGTCGAAGATAGTCTCAGCTAAAAGTCAGGTTGCATGCTGATTGTGACTATTAGTGGTCAGTCAGTCAGTCAGTCATAATCAGCGTAAAGCCTCCCACAAACATTCATTGAGCCAAGTCCTCATTGTCAAACTATCACGGTGAAATGAAATTGAGAGTACAAAATAATTTGGCAGCAATAATAATGGGGAAGACCTAATATAGAGAATATGGTTCGAAAAGATGAAATGGAAAACTGTATATGGGGGAATACTAGAACTCTCAATTTGCCTCACTGTAACCGATTCTGAGTCATGTCACCCATTGATTGCGGTTATCACGCGAACCCCAGCCAGGTAGTCTGCATCTACCAATGTCAGTCAGTCAGTCAGCTACAACGTAGGACCAGGCACATATGTGCATCGGTCCAGGTTCCCATACCGCATCAGCACAACAAGATGAACACCGGATTCATAGCAGTGGTTAGGTCAAAGGTAGTAATATATAAGAGAAAGATTGCATATAGAGATATAGTACAAGAAGAAAGAAATGGTTCGTAGAAAGAAAGATATGAAGTGATTTTAATCTCTTAGTTTAAGGGAAGACAGGGAGTGTATACACCGACGCCATTGTGATCGATTCTGAGCCATGTCACCAAGAGTCTCCAACCATTGGTTACGATAGTCACGCGGACCCCAACCAAGTAGTCTGCATCTACCAACATGGCTCAGACTAGAAGTTAGTGACTTCAAGCACTGATGCCACGTTTTGGTTTGGCCGCCCCTAACTTTCTTCCAACCATTTCCAATACCGGATAGCATTGCACGTCGTGGTAATCGGTGTTCGGGCATACGTAACACGTGGCCCGACCATCTCAGTCGATGAAGATTCATAACCTCATCAACTGATTTACCATCATTTCCTAATACCCTGCGTCTGACCTCACTATTACTTACCCGGTGATCCCAGCAGACGCCAGCAATATTTCTAAGGCATCTGTGGTCAAATACTAATAGCTTACGAGTGTCTTCTACTCTTAATGGCCATGTTTCGCTGCCGTAAATTAAAACAGAACGGACTGCCGCGCAGTATACTCGTCCTTTTATTGATAGACGGATATCTCGCCTTCACCATAGGTGACGTAAGTTGGCAAAAGCCAATCGAGCTTTTCGAATCCGTGCTGAGATTTCGTCCGATACCAACCCATTAGGGCTGATCAGACTTCCAAGATAAGTGAAGTTGCCAACACGTTCGACTACTTCACTCCCTATCCTTAGTTCAGGTGTTAACGCAGACCAGTCCTGAAGCAATAACTTGCATTTAGAGGGAGAGAAGCGCATTCCAAGCATCCTGGCATTGTTGCTCAGTGCTACCAGAAGACTCTGCATTTTGTCAGCGTCTTCACCAAACAGGACTATGTCATCTGCGTATTCTAAGTCGATAAGTGGACCTCCTGGTAGGAGATCAATACCCGAGAATTCAGTAGACGAGAATGTTATTTCCATCAATAAGTCTATGATGAAGTTAAACAAAAATGGAGAAAGTGGACAGCCTTGACGGACACCACTTGAGGTTGCAAAAGTAGATGACAGTTCGCCATAAGCTCTGACTGGAATAGTCATGTTCGAGTAAAGAGCCTTTACAAGGTTTATGTACTTCTGGGGTACGCCTTTCAATGACAGACACTGCCACAGAATCTCGCGGTCTACCGAGTCAAATGCTGCTTTTAAGTCGAGAAAGACCACCATTGTCGGACGCCGATAAGTATGCCTGTGTTCCAGAATCTGACGAATGGTGAATATGTGGTCGATGCAGCCACGACCAGGTCTGAAGCCAGCTTGATTTTCTCGTGTTTGCAGTTCACGAGTCTTAGTTAGGCGTCTGATAATTATCGAGGCTAGTATTTTAGATACTATATTAGTTAAACTAATCCCTCTGTGGTTGTCACAGGATGATTTTGACCCTTTCTTATATATTGGGACGATAAGTGATTGTGACCAGTTAGATGGAATAACGTCTAACTCCCAGATTTTAGCTAAAATATTAGTCAACCTAATCGCTAAAATTGGACCACCATCCTTAAAGACCTCTGGAGCCAATCCATCTGGACCAGCTGCCCTTCCTCGTTTCAGATTAACTATAGCCTTTTGAACTTCAGCAAGAGTTGGGGGACCTACTTCAATGTTCCATTCACACTGTCTGGGAATGGAGGGTAGTTGTAGAGTAGCTGAAGGCCAGCTGAACTGTTCTCTGAAATGTTCCGCCCATCGTTCTAAACGCCTGGACTGGGAGCAGATGAGTGTATCGTCTTTTTCCGATATAATCTCACTTACACTTGACTTATTAATTCCAGTTTCTTTTATTAGTCTGTAAAGCTGTCTTGTGTTCCCTATAGTCGCCGCCTTTTCCATCTCTTTTGCTTTCATTGTCCACCACTGCTCATGGTCGTTTCTTAGACTTTTTCTTAACCTAGATCTGATTTGTTGTCGCTCTTCCTCATGTTCGGAACCTGATGGGACGAGTTTGCGAGAATCCATCAGTGTGATAGACTTTGAAGAAATCCATCAGTGTGATAGACTTAGGCTAACAGTTAGAACCAAAAGCAGTAATTAGAATGAAAAATTATTGTAAAAGAAATTTGGCGAAATGTGTTATATTTAAGTTGAGGGCTTGTTACTTCTCAGCATCCGTTGACACAATCGATTTCAAAACAATTCTGAGATTCTCTCGTGTGTTTGTTCAAAATTCACTTGAAAACCCATTAAAGTCGATGATCCGATTAATAATATGATGGGTTGACATGTAGATGTTCGACCTGAAGCATTTTCTCAACTCTTAAGGTTTGCTAACCCCACTTGAAACTGTAAGATAGTGATTTCACAGCCCTGAGATTAAAATTCAAAGCTCTTATGCCAATGACGATCACTGTATACCGCACTTCTCTGCTTTATTATTAGCATTTTGAATGTGATCTTCAAATTCTGGTACTTTCAGGATCAGTTGCTTAATTAATTGTCTCATTATTGTAATGTTTTAAGATCCTGTTACGCTAGCAGACGAACACCATGAAAGTGTCTTCGAAATACAAGATTAAGTTCGAGGATGTTTGGCACATATTCCACATTTGTCATGAACACAATAGTAGAGTTCCTATTCCTCACCCACCAATAAGTATGTACTGTATCATCATTAATAAAACTAGCAAGTTTTTGAGTAAGCGATAAGTTTAATGGCACCATAAAAGTCCGTATAAACATAAATAGCTTAGTAAGCTTTATTATATATCTTTAGTTTCAAATTTCTTCCGGGTGTGTGTAAAAATAATGCAATGTTATATCAACCAAAGTTGACATAATAATACTTTCTGTGGCTGATGTTTAAAGCCTTATAGCTAAATGGTTGACAATTTTGGGTTTTCGAGTTATTGATTACGTCAGTTTTAAATGATGGTGAGAAATTAATCAGAGTAGTTAATTTTTTCTTTCGTCTTCTGTTGCACTGAGTCCTCTTTTAAATCTTATTTTCTGCTTATTCTTTCCGTTTCATTTGTAAACCGTTGTGTTAATTTCTACATTAAGTGTCCACTATAAGTCCAACAATATAGAAATTAAGACATCGTTTTAAGAGATTATTGAATATATATTCTGTTTTCCTGCTCTATTAGTCAGTATTCTTCCTTTCTTACTTTTTCTCTAGCATATATGAACGAGATGCAGAAGGTGTTGTCAACTTTTTCAGCCGTTATTTCGATATTCCACTCAACGATCTACCATCTTCCCTCGATTCTATAAAGTAAGTTTTTTCTCATTGGTACGATGGGGCACTAAATGTATATGCACCACACAATGACGATAGGTCTAGGAAGAGATAAGTAGTGGAGGGTGAGTATAATAAAAGAAAAGCAACAATGGACGGAAATTGGTGAGTAAAATAATAATAATAATAGGTAAAGCAATCCAGTTACGAAAAATACAACAAAAAATTTTTTAGTTAAAGAAGTAACGTTCCTTTTATGAAGAAAGTTACAGCAGGATAGCCACAGGCTTCTATTGTGGGCCATATTTGGTAACGTTCCAAGCCAGTATTGGACCATCTCTAGGACCTCAACCAGGGAGTGGCAGAGGAACTACAGAAGCCAGTCCTGTGTAGTTTTCCTTCATACCACGACACCATGTCGTGCCCCCAAATGCTCTGGTACGGCCGAGAGTTCGAAGAGTTCGCTCTCCCTATCCAAATGCTATCACATAGCCACATGTATACAAACACTACAAGGGAAGTCCTGCCTTCTCGCGGCATTACTGTTGTTTACGAAATTGAGAGGATAAAAAGCGAATGTTCAGCGCTTTAACGGGGTTGGTGCACACTGAGAGTCTACCTAGGGGAGTTGAAAATTCTGATTCCAAACGAGTGGTGCACGTGGGCTTCAGGATCCTGAGGGAACAAATGGTGTGTAAACCAATTGTTGGTGACCGGCTACCATGGGACTGCATCTTCTAATGTTGCTCTACTGCCTTGTGAATTAGACCTTCAGGTCGAAGATTTCGAATGTGACCCTTGCTTCGGTCTGTGCACCCGGGCAGTATCACAGACCACATACAAATCGAGTGACTTGTGTGGCACATATGTATTCGGTGCCCCTTTGTACTAATATTTGTTGTGCACTGATTACCCTTCTGCTTTTCCCAACCGGCTCCAGCGTCGGCAAATAATGCACGATGTGGAATTCTCCGGGACGACATTCGTAGAACATGTCTAAGCCATCAAAGTCATTGTTCCAAGATGATAACCGATTGAATCGTCGTCGCTGCGTCCGAACACACAGTGCCGTACCTCGGCATTACTAACATGGCGTTGCCACTGGATGTCAGTGCTTTCGGAGACAACGTCGGTCAAGCACAAGAAGTCGTTTAACATCCTCAACTCGGGGAAGCCAAGTTTCATAAGTAGAGAGCAAAACTGCTCTCATCGACGCGTTGTGGACCCGATCTTTTACAGTTAGACTAGCGTCACGAAGGCTCTAAAGATGACCCAGGTTGGCATAATCCTCTCCGGCTTCCACTATATCTACGGATACTGCCAACTGATTGAGTGTAGATTGCATGACTTGGGTATCATCGCTCAGTAAGATAATGTCATCCGCATACCCAACGTTATAAAGTATTTCTTCAGGCAACAGACCTACACTACTACTCCCTACATCCATCAGGTCTGTTTCCAGAACGTCGTCGACAACAAAGTTGTAGAGTAATGGTGAGATTGGGCAAACCTGTCACCCCCATTGCTTGAATGGAACAAAGGAGAGAGGTGGTTGTATGCCGTCACTCTGCCTAAAGTGTTTGTATATAGGGTTTTTAAGATGTTAATAAACTCAGACATTCTTCAATAGACGATCTCAGATAACAGAGCTGTCCAACAAATAGTAGGTGGCCCTAATGTCAAGAAACACTACATTGACTCTTAATAGGTTGACCTCGCTTATCTACACTTTCTGGGCTATAAAAAAGGTAGATTGAACCATAGATAGGCTCTTTTTCAACAAATCACCGCTTCCAATTGTTTGTATTAGGCGACAAAATTTATCTCACCAACTAATCCAGTACATACTAATTGTTAACGTTGTAATCGCAATGTAAACCGTTGTACTTCTACTCTTCATTTGTTCTAGTTGCTGTTCATGTTATTTATCTTATCGAGCCAAATCACAGTGTATCAACTGTAGAATCATAGAAAAAACAATTGTCTAAGAAGCCTTTATACCAATTGGTACTAATTAATTTATTCCTAAATACTAAAGTCGGAATACTTTAAGTCTTTGCAACTGTCAGCACAACTGGTCATTTCTTTTCAGTTATTGGAATAGTAATACACTGTATAGATGCCCAAATACTTTTTGTTTATATTTTTAATTTATCCACCTAAACATCAAAATTATTCGAGACTATGGAAACTCGTATCGAGTTTTTTCACTTGTCACGTCTTACATCAAGTTGTGTAAATGAATTTCAGTAGGATATAGATATGTGGTGAGAATTACGGATAACACTCATATTTGAACATTTACTATAGATCTAACAACTTCTAACTACAAATTTGTGTTTACTAATGATTCTTGTGCACAGTGCATATACTAACCTATTTTACTAGACTCATTCCAGTCCTTAGAATCAATGACGATAAAAATAAAGATCTTTACAAATGTTTGGTTAAGGGCTATTCAAAGCTCCTTTTTAATGAGATTATTGTTAGTGGTGGTAAGTCAATTTATCTAGGACACCAAATCCCAGTTATTAGTATCGTCATTCAAGTGAATCATACTAGATTCAAATTATTGTTGATGTTTAGTTTAGAATTAGCAAATTATCTTTCAGATTTTGGGTTTTAAGTAATTACATTTTCCATCTTTTTCGTAGACGAGTTGATTATGTCGACGTGCATTTAAAAGTTCCGGGTTACATCTCCAAGAATGCTACCAACCGCCATTCTAAACACACAATAGAAGATTCACTCTTAGGTTCAGTTGCTCGACTTCAATTATCATCATTGGAAAATAGCGAAGATGAAGAAAATACCTGTGACTCTGATTCGGATAGCATCGATTCTACTACTGATTCTCAAGAAAATGATCAGTCGCAGATTGAAGTTAATGATAAATCTAATTTAGAGGACATAAACTACAATAAGAATAATAAAAAGGATATTAACAGTGTACAAGAGACAAAAATTACAACGGTACGTTTATTCTATAAAATTCGTTCAATCTCCGTAATTGTTGTTTAGAAATATTGTGAATCAGTTAGATATAATGAAGAAAATCAATAAGGAAGTGAATACAGGTGGTAGAATGATATATTCTTTTGAAATAGTAACTCTAATTGAGCGTCATCAATACATCCTAAAATTTTCCTAGAAAGAATGATTTTCTGGAAAGCCAATAATTAATAAGTTGTCCAATCCCTCCTAGGTTTATTAAGAATCGCGGGTAAAGGTATCAGTAATCAGCTATCATATCATTTAGATAAGAATGATAGACAAACTACTCTTCAGAATAGTTCCAAGTGTCCTTCGATTGCCGTACCGTTTTGAGAGAAAGTTGTAGATAAACTCATTCACTAGGTAATTAATTGTGTGTGGTTATAGTATTACCTAACTCCGCCTGGAGCCCATTGGAAGTAACAGGCGCAAGTAGGTGGAACGGAGTTTGAACCTGGGGCTTAGTGGCAGAAAGTTGAATGTCTTAACCATGAAGCCACCACTCCACAACATAGTACAGTATAAAGTACAATACATCGAGTATCTGATGTGTAGTGATTTTTTCATAGCTTTTTTCTTTTCTCTTATAAAATATGTATCGCAGAATGTAGTGAAATCACCTTATTTTAGTAAATTATTCCGTTAATTCGCTTTAGAAACCTGCCTTGATTACTGTTGAGGAAATTCGTGAGCGTAATCGTCGTGAAAGAAGACATCAAAAACAAGTTGACTTCAATCGTCAAATCAAACGTCATAATCGCGCTGCTATAAAACGTCAGGGTCGTCTTAATATGAAAGCTGAAGCATTACTTTTTGGATAGCTCAAGTTGTTTATTTTTATTTTGTTAATTATTCGATCAACAATATTTTAACAGATGTACCTATATTTTCTGTTACTAACACAAACTAATGTGGATATTTCAACCTCTTTCAGAATCTTCCTTATATATTTTGTACACAATATTAAGAAGATAATTGTATAGTTACGGTATTTTTAAAATCTGGTTTTCTCGTAATTTCAGAACTTTTATTGTTTTTGATCTTGTTGTTCACTTTATAAATTGTAAATAAGTGATTTTCTGGTCAATGTATTACTGACTTTGCTTTTGCTTGATAACACTCAAATTTACGTGTGAAAATAGAAATTAAGCTAAGTCAACAAATATTTCCTCCAAATTAGAGCCTTAACATAGCTCGACACTGATTATTACGTAGGTTTTACATCAGTTGTTTTCTTTATTTCCCTAGTATTTTTTCACAAATTGAGGATTATGTATGTGTAATGTAAATTAGATAAGTCAGTATGGATGATCGAATTCGATTAGTGGAATTTTTCAGGAGTTATTCTTTCATTTCAAGTCCATTTAACCAAGTGTCACTTTCTGTAGTTTGTCTTGTAAATTGCCTTATGCTAACCATTTCGGATGGTCTTCTCTGAATAGGAATTTTGTATTGGACCGACAATTTTTGAGATAGACTGGTGTTTGTCTTAACACTTTGTCAACAATTACAGTCATAACATGTATTTTGATGTAAGTTGTAAAGTTTTTGTCAATCATATTAAGGATGAAGTCACTAAAAATGCGACCCAGTATTCCTTCGTAACGGTTTACATTCAACAAACAAGAACCCAGTTAAAACTAGTTTATGTACAGCTATCAAGTTGAACGTTTGCTGTCAAAACTCCTTGTGAGATCTTAAAAATTTACATAACATTATAACTTATGTATTGTTTACCGAAATTCCTGAACGAGCACAACAGTTACATCTACGGCGATCGCTGAGGAGTAACTATTGCTCAAATTTTATGTACTTACTATTGTTACTAAACAGCAACGGTATGAACACTCCCAGAATGTATTGTAAACCACTGGTGTTCTGCCACTATATACATTAACATCTCATTAATTTTTCTGGCTACAGACTTAGTTTTGCTAGTTTCTTTGATAACTGACTTGAAGGAGTATAAAAATTTCAAGGACCTTGGGGTAGTTCATGGTTGTCGGCATGGCAAAGTTTTATCAAATGACCTCAACGGACATGCTTAGTTTTTGAGGCCTAACAATTGGAACTGGTTTAACTCATTATGGTTCTTGTAAAGGGATTTTTGATATATTCACGCTCTATTCATTATAGATGAACTTGCTAAATAAATGTAAGCTTTAGGCATTATTGATGTACAGCAATTATCTTGTTACTAAAAGATTACATCTAGCCACAGTATCATACAGTTTAGGACTTGAATAAAGTTATTACACTAAAACATGACTAATTACCAGATGACTATTCGAACAAGATTTTTAATTGGCAAGATGTGATAACGGACTTAGTTTTGTTTATGAATTACTAAAAATTTATTTCGAGTTTGGATAACTAAAATATATTACTGTTAGATATAAAGTAATTGTTTTACTGGAGATTTTTTAAGGGTTTGTAACATATATATTTGGGGGCTTGTATATATATATACTATGGATTATATTCAACCGAAACTTCATGTGATTTCAGACATTCTTAACTGCTAGAAAATTTTTAGAAAGTGATAATATAATCTAAAGTAGCACTTTACACAAGCTACCAATCGATAGTCAGTACCTATCACCTAATAATATTCATACAGTTATGATAATCTAATAGGCGGAAAATTGAATTTGTGAAGTTTTACAACTTAATTTCAAATCTTGAAGTAGTAGAACAAACAACTTTTGCAAATAACAAGTTTGAATGATTAAAGCGGTTCGCTTAATTCTAGTAGTTGAATTCATGAGTTGATGTAAGCCAGACCACCATTGAAAACTTGGAAGCACTGGAAGGCCGCTTCGTCCTAGTATATGACTCCTCAGCACTGCGCACGCACACGGGGTTCAAGCCCAGGACCGTAATTTGTTTGAAATTTTCAAGTCAAATTGTGCTATTGACAATCGTCTATTTTTCTTTTTTTTAATTACTGTATTCACGTTTCTAAATATTATGTTTTTAAGGAATGCTGTATAGATACATATCTAACGGATTTTGAGCTTAGATGGTTAAATAATAGGTAATAGTGAATCTGGAAAAACTACTCTTCACTCAGGAAACTACAGTATCCCAATTGAATGAATATCAATAGTCTATTCAACTAGATAATTAACTTCATCTAACAAAATATTACTTTTGTGTGAAAGTTTGGTACATGTTGAATAAAATGAGGAGCCATGAATAACTTTCAGTCAATCACTTACAGATAACATAGGATATAATATTGATGAGCATCGGTCCAAGTTGCCATATTCCACAATAACATGGAGGGAGAAATTAACAAGATCAGAAAAGGCGTAGAAAAAATCGAGAATTGAATGCTTTCAAAGAACTGAAGTGATTAAATTAAGTTTGAGGAAGATAGGAGGTGATTATAACTGCGTCACAGCGACCGGTGGATGGGATTATAATGACGCAAATGAATAAATGTTATAGTGTATCTGAATCTTTGTGTACGAGACTCAAATTTATTATTATTAATTTTTTAAAATATTAAAGATTCCCATTGTGAAAATTAGAACAACACATATAAGCGAACAGTTGTTTTCAATTAGATCATCATCAGGCTTTACTCTAATATACATGAATATTTATACGAAAATCTTAAACCAATCAAGGCAGTATGGGTCAATAATCACAATGAAATAGAATAGGTCACCACACATAATAAGTAAAAATACAGGTTGATAGTAGGAAGATAGGTGTACTGATAGTAGTAAGAATAATAAAATACGATAACAAAAGTTATATCAATAGTTAAACATTGGAAATAGAAAGTGAAACGTGGGTAAATAGAATTAGAATAGTCAACACAAAACATTAAAAGCATTACGTAATAAGAAGTGAGTAAATAATTAGATAGTGAAGAATACAAGCGACAAGAGGCGGAAAATTACAAACACTAGATGTGAAAAGAAGGCTAATGATAACAAAAATAGAATAAAATAAATAGTAATTTAATAAAATCGTTGGTTGAGTTATAATTGGCCATGAGAGGGATAGGGAGGTTACGAATTTCTTCTGTACCCATAAATTGGCGTTATATGTACGAAGTCCTATGGCTTCAGCTATATGTAGGAGGCGGGAACGAACTCCGTTGGGAAATGATGGAGGTATACGGTATATCTCTCGAAATGAGTTCGATTTATCTACAGCATGAACGCTATCAGTGAGATGTGCCAAGATAGAACTGCGAATTGTTTTTATCTGGCCCTTTATAAACCACGCTGGTAGATGCTCACTCATTCGTTGGTTAAGTCGCCTGGTAGTACGCCCGATATAGCTATCTCCACAGGGGCAGCTGAATTTGTAAATGAACATTGAGGAGGTCAACTTAGGTAACTTATCCTTCGTTTGCGTAGACAACGCTGGTCGATAAGAGAATTAATTTTTTGACTAGTTCAGACAACGAAAATTATTTTAATTTATATTGAGCTCTAGCCTACTAAAAATGTTCTGCAAAACGATTTATTATTGGGTTTCATTCTTAACATAGTGATCAGAATACTTTCATGTTTTGGTGAATGTTATATATTATAATTTAGCTAATGTCTTATTCTAGATTAACAGATTTAATGGTATTTGGTTTGGAATTTTATCAAGCTCTCGAGATCATGATAAATAATTCAAGGCAATACCCTTGTTATTGTTTTCTTTCTGAAATATAGAATGAAAACTTTGTTTGAATAAGCCAATAAAATAAATATATAAAAAGCAGCAATTGACAAGGAAAAAAGCATTAAAAAATTAGACATTTCCTAATCACTTATGGGCGTAAATTAATTGAAACGTTTTTCTCTTAACCGGATTGGTTGAAAGTAATTTTGGTTGCCCTTGACATCGACTACAACGATATTGGTATATTTCTCAACTTGTTTTAATCTAACGATAGTATGAGAGACATTAACGTAGTTGGGATGTTTTTTTTTATGTGTATAGAAAATAAACATTTAGAATGACAAAGAAAGAAATATTAAATCTGAATCAAAACCAACACTTATTATGGACTAAGTACAACTATCTTCATAAAATAATAGATAACTTCAGTTTCATATCGATAACAAATTTAAAAGTTTTTCACACTCCTATATCTGAATAATGAACTGGATATCAACAGAAGAATATCATTCAACAAATCAAAACAATAATCATTCCTATATTTTGTCTAATCAATTCAAATCACAAAGGAATATTAGTCAACTGGAATCATTAAACATAGAAACAGATGTTAATAACACTAATAATAGAGCTTCATTCACACAATGTTCGAATTTATCATCATTAGTTGAGAATCCCTATCACATTACAACATCAAGACAACAATTATCAGAAGAATCCATAAGAGTCCCAGTAATTCCTAGTTTACCAATGAAAAATGTTGACTGTATAAAGAATAATGTACAGAATTGTATTAATTGTAAAGGCGATTTAATAAACTATTTGGATAATGTAAAGTTCTCCTATAAAAATGTAGATGAAATTGATCATTTATATAAGAAACTACGAAAAAATGTATGTTTATCATCTGTTTAACTGTCTATTGTACATATTTTAATTTATTTTGATAGATAATTTGAATTTCAGGTACTATAAAATTAATTTACTTAAATGAAACTGAATCAAAGTAAATTCGGAATACTTCTAGTTGCTTTGTTATTGTTATTACGGTAAGTTAGCATAATATATGCACAAACGGAAAAGTTCATATGTATATTGAAGTATCTAGGATAGGATTCTATTTCATAGATCGTTACATACATCCATTACTATAGACTAGTTAAATAATGTCAATCTATTGAACCTAAATGACTAAAGATCAACTGTCGATTCCACACAAAAATAATTTACAACCAATAAAATGTTTATTATTGTTGATCACCTTAAACTTAGATATCATTACCGACATGTTTTAAAGATTGATAGCTAATTAATATTCAGTTAAAATATCTGAAAACAATGTATAAACTTACTTACTTACTTACTTACTTACTTACTTACGCCTGTTACTCCTGATGGAGGATAAGCCGCCGACCAGCATTCTCCAACCCACTCTGTCCTGGGCCTTCTTTTCTAGTTCCATCCAATTCTTGTTC